CCTCAAAGGTGTATGTCAAGTGTACCAGTGAGGTTTGCAATAGCATTGTGGTGAATGCTGACTGACCATTTCATGATTAGGTTGATGGCTTAGAATAGCTGGCTTATAATTAATTAATATCCCACTTCATCCTCAGTAAAGGGGCTCAAAGCAGTTCAGAACTAAGTTATAAAAGCACTCATTTTCTCAATGGATGCTAAATGATCAGTGGCAGACCCCTGATTTTTTTTTCCAGTGTCCATGAAAGATTGGAGGATCTCTCAAAAAAACAAATGTGTTGATGTCTTAAAAGAGAGAGGGGAGAGAAGGAGAGAGAGAGAGAATGCACACAAATATCAGAGATTGAAAAGTGTTAAAAATCCTTAAGATCATAGAGTTTCAGCTTTTAAAAACCTGGGCTTCAAAAACAGTAATTGTTATGACTGTACTAATACTAGCAAACATTCAGCGGGTAAACAGGATTATTTATTTTTTTAATCACAAGTGAGAAAGCAGGACAGCCAGTCTAATAGATGTGTTTCATTTTTGCTGTGCTTCTGAACCCCAAAAGGCTCCACTCGTGTCCCACCTAATTCCACCTTTCCTGCTTCAGATCCTGATCCCATCCCTGATGCGCTGGGGTCTACTCTGGATTTGTCTATGACCTACAAACGTCTGTCAGGCTCTGTCTGTGATTGGCAAGCTGCTACCAAATTATTGACCTTCCAAAGGCCAAACTGGCTCCCTCTCTGATGTGGCACGTTCCTTTCTCAAATACCCTGGCTCCATGTCCTGACTCCACCCAGGGAGGGACAGGAAATCAAAAGTGAGCAACTCATTTTTCTTTTCTTTATGCTTTTAAAAACGAAGAATGCATTTGTCCTCTTTTGATGTGAAAAAAGCAGCTCTTGCATTTTTTAAAAAAATTCTATTGCGATTTTAAGGAGTTTACTTTTGGGGTATGTAAAGAACTCTTTAAAAAATCCTTTAGTAATTCTGTTTTTCTGCCTTCCCTTGACTGATTTATGCAGAAAATCTATTGACCAAAGCAATATTCCATTTGGGTCTCCATCCTTCACTGCTTTTTCAATTGTTCTCCCTAATTCAGCTCCCCAGATATTAAGGCCAAATTCACACATGCCACTTAAAGTACTTCTCAGCTCCTCTCCCGCTGTTGCCTTAAATGTATAAAAAAACCTGAAGCCACTTTCATGCACAAGTATCAGGTTTCTGATTTGTGAAAGCAAGCAATTTTAATGAGCTTGCAGTGAGTTTCTGAACTGATTGATAGCAATGGAGAGGAGAACTGATTTACAATAACATTTCAGCCTCTTTGCTCTTTACAATACATATGTGATTTCAGACATGGATGCATCCATTGTATCATGGGTTTTATAGTCTCAAAGTTGTCTGAATACTTAATCATTTCCACCATTGTGTATTTGCTTGAGAACTTACAGACCATGGGTATATCCACACTCTGCTTTTCATATGAACACTAACAGTGCAATCCACTTTCTTGGGAGCAAGTCTCATTGAATAGACTTGAGCAGTAGAAAAGAGTAAGAGTCCAGTAGCACCTTAAAGACTAACAACATTTGTGGTTGGGTATGAGCTTTCATGAGTCATTGCTCACTTCTTCAGATGCAGCTAGAATGTGAGTCCATCTGTCCTATATATTGGAGTGATTTCAGATGCCAAATGACATTAGCAGGCAAATGATAATAGAAGGTGTAATTAGATTAGGTGTGACATGCAGAGAGATAGTAGATTTGAGTAGGATTCAGAGTATATCTGCTAAGGATTCCTAATTAAGAATTCCTAAACATGTCTTCTCAGAAGCCTTCTCAAGGTGACCAATCCTAAGCAGGTCTGTTCAGAATCCTGCTCAGGTCTATTCTATGGGGCTTACTTCCAGGAAAGCCATTTTTGGATTGCACTGTTAGTCATTCAACTAACTTTGGAAACAAATGTCCACTGTAACATATCTTTGTTCAATAAGATGGTATAGGATTTGTCAGGCTTAAATAAGGCTTTTTGGTGTGAAAAGAAGAATGTTTCACAATTATAGCATGTTTGTTTTTTGCAGAGTTGCCAACTGGCCTGGAGAAAAGTATCCTCTCCCTTTAATAGAGGATTAGTAGATTGTTATTTACCTCTGTGCCATGAAAAGCTTCAACTACCCAGAATTTTCTCTGGGCCAGTTTGCATTCCTACTAATTCTGAATCTGAAAACAATGCAGCCCTTCCTGGGATGATCAGGGATCAGATTTGGGAAAAGCAAAGCAGATTTTGATAAGGTTCCTTTGTCTGGAACCAGATTAAAATGAACGTTGAGATTAACTCTAGTTTCATCAGTCTAAAATTAGGTTTTTTGGTCTCAGATTCCGTTTAAAGCTACTGTCCAGCACCTACAATTAAATAAATGCTTGTGCTCATACAACACTTCAGGTGTAATTTGGGACCTGTCCCCACCACATAGGAATGCACTGCAAAGGTACTTGCTAGTCCAATATTTTAAATACTACAGCCTTCCTTGGCAGGATGAATGTGAATCGAGCATTTTGAAAAGCTCAACTCAAGCTCTAGTCCCTTGAGCCCTGCAAACACCCTTCTTTGGTGTGCATGTGTGTAAAAGCTCTGCAAAGATCATAATTGACGTTGGCAAAGGATTAATAAAAAGTCTAAGCAGGTATCACTTGAGGCTTACGAGCAGTGTCTTGAAATAACTGGATCTTTAATCAGGTGTTTTCCTTGCTAGGCATATGATGTTCATAAAATCAAAACCCATTTCACAGAAACAGTGTGAGACTGTGGTCTTATACTATTTCTGTGTTTGCTGTCAGGCTTCAATTTCAGGTGTGTTATGTCTGAACACAAAACCATCTCAACACTGTGTATTCATGGACCACCCAAGAGTGTTGGGGGGGTGGGGAGGAAAAGCAAGTTTTATAGATTCTGTGGTATATTTGCTATGCAGCAGAAATATGTGCTAGATATAACAGTTGAAATTATAAGTTTTGACAGTGGCCAGGGTAGAAATTAGTGGTTTCATTGTTAGTTGTCAAAATTTGGAGCTGTAACCTTTACATATTTGACCTGTCTTTCTTGACCAAACCTTAGCAGCTTGACCACTGCTGGCATGCATGACTTCATCGAGCACTCACCATAGAAGGAGAAGATGTTAACTGCAACAGTAGAAAACTATATATGAAAGACTGGACAGCAGACAAATTTGGTGCCCGGTGAGAGACACCTTTTGGGTTTCAGCTGGAAGAGAGTCTAACAGTGCCATTCTAAGCAGAGTTACACCCTTCTGAATCAACTTAAGTCAATAGCCTTAGAAGGGTGTCATTCTGCTTAAGATAGTAGACTTTTTCAGCGGTACATTCAAGCACACCAGGATCATCTCAAGGACATGGAGATCCTCTTAATATGTGTGGCTGCCATGTTGTCTGAACAGAGGTAACACACATATGTTTATGGATATACAGCTTCTGTACGCACAAACTAACTACAGGATTATCAGGGTTTTGCATAGTGTGCACTCAGGTTGTACATGCATAAAAAAACTGCACATGGTTCTCTTCATATGAAATGGCAACCACACATTTTGGGAGTATTGCAGATAGAGCATACTTGCAATACACAAAATTGCAGAGCTTGTGGTATATGTAGTTATAACAATTTAAAATGGCTGGTGTCAAATTGTAAGTGAGTGAATATTTTGGGCCTTTTCTCAGGTTCCATTCTTGATTCAATAAATGCTCATCTGTTGACATCGAACAGGAGGTACTTCTTCAAGGCAGCACTCGATCAATAGTTTCTGATCAATATTTTGTATTGGGGAAATGCAACCTTATATTCACTGTGATTGTTGTGTGGAAGGTGCTTGTATGCATCTATGTCACATGGGGGGGATACTACTATTTTGCCACAGAAAAGCCACTTCCTGGATTAATGACAAATGGCTAAAATCAACACCTCAAACACAATTTGAACATTGCATGGAATAGTCCTGTGAATACCTAGTTGCCCAAGTAACTACACTGTGGAAGAGTTTTATCTGAGTAATAAATACAGGAAACAAAACATCTTTTCCCCCGTCCCATAACACAGAGTTTTTAGAGTAAAAAAACCCCCACACCCCAACATTTTCATTGTGGCAATATGCATAACCTATCACTGATGCTTTTGACTACCTGTACGGTATATCTTTATTTGGATGTGGAGTGGCACAATACCCTTCAAAAGACAGTCGGATGTAATAGTTAAACTGGGATCCAAGTTCAGATTCCTCCACATTGCCATAAAGCTTGCGAGGTGATCTTCCCCATTCTGCTGTCCCTCAACCTAACCTTCTATAGAGGGCTGTGGGGATGGTAAAATGTAGGAGAACCACATTTGCTGCCTTGTGCTCCTTGGAAGGCAAGTGGAATAAAAAAGTAGTAAAGGAAGATTCTTTTGTAAAGACCTACCTAGAAAGACAGGATCACCATAGACTATTGCCAAATGGAACCCAGCACTTCAAGACTATTGAAAACTGCCTTGTACAAGTTTGTTTAGGAGCAGGGCCCAAGACTGAAGTTCAAAGACACTTGCAGGTTCCATGGAAATCAATGGGACATGCAAAAAATTCTGTTTAGATCATGGTGCCAACATTTTTTTCTCTCAAGGTTTTTATATTTAGTTATATTCCTTGGATTTGAAACAGGCTTTTTAATCAGTTTACAAGCGTGATGGGGGGAAAGAAATCACAGCAAGCTAAGCTTCTTTGTAACTGCTTCAGGAATCACATGATTATATTTTTTCTTGTGGGTGGCCAGAAATATTAATATTGACTCTTTATTGAATTCAGTGAAATCTGTGAATATCACTGCCACATAACAAGAGATCTCTTACTTGAAGCCCATTCCACTATGGGTCACTTTTATGACTTTTAAGACTGCCACATTTCTAACTTTTGTAAGTTTCAGCCAATTGCCTCTCTTTGGCACTTTCAGAAGGAAACAAGAACCAACCTGTATGCTGCGAGGTACTCAACGTCTCCCACTGGGGGATCCAAGCCACCTGTCCAAGCAATATTTATATTATAACCTTCACCAGGGCCACTTCCAACCTAAAAGGAGAGGGGAAGGAGGGGGAAGTGCCAGAGGGAGAATGGAAGAGGAAAGGCAGGGAGCAAATCAAAATAAGAAAACATACAAAAATGTCCTTTTGAAACAAACATCAAACAGCATGTCAAATCAACCCAGCCCTGCTTGACAAGGACTGTTCTGGGTTATGCACTTGTTCTACCCTAGTCCCCCAGTCCCCATAGACTATTTGGTAATCTAGTGCAATTTAAAGCACCAGTGGAGGATGAGAAAATTAGGGGGTAATCATGCAACGCAATTACCTGAAAAGATACAAATAAAACTGGGGCTCTAAAGAAATAAACCTAACCTCATTTGGGGCTCCGCTGCCAGGGAAGAAGTTGCCTTCATCATAGCGATGGAGGGAGACATACAGGATGCTGGGGTCAGCATAAAAAGCCTGCTGTGTACCGTTGCCATGGTGAACATCCTAAAGGGGAAAGAAAACAGATGACAAATGCAATCATGTCCAAGCCTATGTGCCGAGAGCCCTCCTGCTTTCTTTTCGTCTTTTCCCTCTCCCTCTCTTTGTGTTTCTCCCTTCTTCTCTCCTTCCTTCCTTTTCTCTCTCCCCTTCCCGCCCGCCCTTCACCACCCCAAACTTCCTGAACTTTCAGGCAAATTACTCTTTAATACACTCATTTTTTAAACTGGCTTCTAAAATCAGGAAACCACAGTGAGCATGCCCTTGAGACTCCAGATGAGCAGTCACTGAGAAATCCCAGTCCTTTTGTACAATTAGATATTATACACCGGCTCTTTGTACTCCCTGTCTCAGTGATGGAATCTAGCATCCTGTTTTATGGAGGAATTTTATGACTTATTAACTGCCAACAGTTCATAACCCCTCAGGCTTAATTAACTAGTCTCATTGGCCTAAAAAAAGACTAATGTTTAAAGTACAAACTAGTCTTTTGCAGAAGGATCTGTGGGCTACAGAGCATTCTCGCAAACCTTGAAAGAACACCAAAGATTCGTGGATTCATTGATTTGCCAAGTTCTACTATTGAGGTCAAAGGGTTTGCAACCAGCTGAGTAAATTGGCTTCCTTGAAACACACATTTCAGTTAGCTGTCCCTCAGCAGCAAGATCCACATCAAAAGGGAACCCAGATGCAGAAAGGACTTCACGTTTGTAAAATCGTGCTGGCTGCAGTTGAAGATGTAAGAATATGATCTCATTAGCGTTGAACACCCTGATCCTCAAAAGGCTGCAAGTGCCATTTATTGCAAGGGACACACACTGGCAGGACGTTTAGAGGAATGAGTTGCACATCCTCCTGCAAAGGGCAGCCAATATGCCTAAAAGATCGCCATGTCCCCCAGATACTGCCGTTTCATACTGATGACTGGAAGCTATAATTTCTCTAGATCTTTTGAGCTGCAATATAAAGCAGGATTACTTGTAAGTAATTCTCAGTGAAAATTAAAAGGACTTACTTCCAAGTTAATACATGTAGAATTAGGCTAGACTGAATGATTTCATAATCACCACCTTGTGAAAGAAGCCCCTTATGAAACATGCTCTCTCATTTGGCATATAGATGTGAATAATGGGTAATTCAAACATCACACAGAAGAGGAGGAGGAGGAGGAAGAGGAGGAGGAGGAGGAATTGGTTTTTATACACCACTTTTCTCTACCCAAATGGGTCTTGGAGTGGTTTACAATTGGCTTCCCTTCCTCTCCCCACAACAGGCACCCTGTGATGTAGGTGGATCAGAGGGAGCTCTGAGAGAAGAGGTTCCTGTAAGTGAGTGGTGAAGGAAGTGTGAGCACTTTATAACTAAACAGGGACTAATGCATTTCTGTGTAATGAGCATGGCACATGAAGTCTGGAGAGTGCAGAATGTGGGTTTAATCTAGACTGAATTTTCCAGTGGCTGAATTTTCCTGCCTCCATCTCCCACTGCAGCCCATTGATCTCCATTAAATGCCACCCTGAGGAATATTATGGGGGGCATCTGCCACAGTAAGGGAGAATCAATGGAAGTTGCCAATTTAGGTTGCTGTACAAATGGTTTCCTGCATGTTTTCCTATGGAAGAGATGACCAGAACTGGGTTGAGGATGCTAAAGAGCAGTTCACATTTTGCAAGAGTTTTAAAAAATTGATAATACTGGTCCAAGAATGTAAATTATAACATGGAAAATGAGAAAAACCACATGTCAAAACATGCACTGAAAGGGCAATAAAATCATACTGAGCATTCTCCAGTTGTACCAAAATGGCACTAAAGAACAATCATTTTACCAGGTTATTGAATGAGAGCATTATTTTTTTCACTCCTCTCTTGCACGTAGTTATGAGATTGCTCTAGATTTCACAAAGCCACACACCAAGTAAATAAGTGAGGCGTGAGTGACCCTGGAGTTCTTGGGTCTCCCTTCCTGATGTCATTAAAGGTCTTGTGCTGTTGTGGGGAAATGGCCTTCCAAATTTTTGAAACCTGAGTGTACTTGCTGCCTGCTCTTTATCCCAGCTGAGGTTCAATTTCAGCTATGTTTTGGGGTAATACAGAGTTGGTGATCCTTTGGGAGATTTTATGAATCTATAATATTATTAGGCTATTACTGATATGTTCAAATTAATGCTGAAATGAGATCATGTTATTTCATTAAGTAAAATAGCTCCTGGGAAAGTGAAACCACAAAACATATTTTAAGGAATTTTAACATTCATGGTGAGCTCATTAGTACGTCCAGCAAAACCTATTCCCAAGGTGCTGTTATGGCCCATTGTAATATATCACAGTATGTCATTCAAAGGTTTCCAGATATAATGAAACCAAATGTCATCTGCCTGTAGCCTTTATTATAAGTCTGTGTGTCACCAAATCTTTAAAATGTCAGTCCTTACAATTTGAGAGCAGTACTTGCGGTACAATCCTTCAAGTCTTTACAATTTGAGAGCAATACTTGCAGTACAAACCTGAGCACAATCACGCCTTTCCAACCCTGTAGGCATCAATGTTCTTAGAAGGCTGTAACTCTGCTTAGGATCGCACTGTAAGTCTATGGAAGTCATTCATTAATAGTGGAAGATCATTAATTTATAATGTAAATGTTTGCTTGATGCAAGAGAGAAATCTGTACAGAATAGGTAGGCCTATATTTGCTGCTTGGATGTTAGTTAAAGTCCACAGTAGATCAGGTATACTGTAGAAATTACCAAAGCATCATTTAGGTCAAATCACAACCAGATTTTAAAGTGTTTTAATTATCATTTGGGAACCATCTCCTGTTTTAATTGATGCTCATTATCACCATTCACAAGTTACGCATTTCCTTGCCTGTATAAGATGCTCATCCATAAGGCCAGACAATTAGTCTTAGATGCAATGGATTTATTAAGATAACTAATCATTCCCCAGCCTATAATTCATGCTACCCAGTCTCTTTCTTTGTATCCAGTCATACCTCTTCATCTTGCTCCAGCTGATTATCAGAGTCTGCTAATTATTTTCCTGATGGATCTTAATATAATGACTTCTATTTCATAGTAGCAGCACTGACTGGTGAATTATCACATGAGCAGTAACTTGGGAAAGGATGGAGCAAGGGAAATATGCTGTTCCTTTACCTTTTATCTAAGGTACTGACCAAGATACAGGACCTTAGACCATAAAAAATAGTAAAGGGACATCTTGAAACCTGCTGAGATATTGTGGTGGAGGACCACTGCCCTTACTTTCAACAGGCATGGCTCATCCCAAAAACAGATGAGTAAAAATGTGCATGTGGTAAGGCTTCTCTATCTGCTAACCTTTACAAGAACAGAGAAGGTTGAATCCTCAAGCAACACACACAAATGTGTTTTCCAAATGTTTTGTTAGCAGTATCACACTTTGTTGTGAACCTTGGCTGATTGTTGTTTGTAGAAATACCCTTTCACCAATGTACTTTGTCACTGAGTTCCCACTTAGGTGCTCTGAGTTCAACAGACAAGAGGGCAGACTAGTGTCACTCATGCTGTACAGTTTGATATATGACACGAGAGCTCCCCCACTGGGTCTTACGTACTCCTAGTGGTGTTTCAACATTGGATGCAGAAAGCGTAAGTAAAAATCCTTTCCCATGTGGAGGCTATGGAGCCAGAAAACAAGAAGAAAGGGTATCATTTGGAGCAATGTCAGAGGCAGCAATGGAACTGAGATTCCAGGTGGGTATTAGCCTCTGTCTCCTAAGGCACAGTACTTCTTGGAGCAGCATCCTGCTGGTGTCTGCATTACTGTACTGTTTGCTTAATTTCCCCCCACAACATTGAGCTTCATCAGTGCAGAAGAACATGACATTATTTAATGGTAGGATAATTCAATAAATCTTGTAAAATTATAGTGGGCTATCAGAAATCTTACGTGGCCCGAAGTCATCACTGCAGGAGTGGTGGGTTCCATAACCCATTTAAACACTCTATATGTGATCTAATTTTTCTCCTCCAGATTGACTGTTAATCCAGAGAAATGGACATCCATTGTTCTTTTACGCACAGTACCAAGTTTTCTGTCCATAAGCATGCTGCTCTACAACTCTGCCACTCTTTAGGATATCTTCCTCAGCAAGATTCAAGGCAGAACAACTCTGTGCATGTTTCACATCATTATGTTTGTGTTATGTATTGAGCCTGGGGCATTCCAGAGCTAGTTACCAGAGACTGGCTGAGCTTGTTGCTCCAGAACAATAGCTACCTGGATTCTGGGAGGTGGGCAATCAGGAGTTAATGGTTCAGAACTTGTTCCTGTAGCTGTGCGTGTTGGGAAAGGGGTGTGGGCTTTGCATGCTATTTAAACAGGGCCATTTTCCCTGTTTGTGTGTCTTGTTCCTGAAATCACTAAATAAAGCAGAGCTATTTCACTGCAAGGCATCTTGAACCCAGTATTTTATAGTTTGTAAAACACCAATTCAGAACCAACAGAGCAGAACAAAGAGGGGGTGCTGCTTGTACAGCATCAAGGATGACATCAGAAAGATGTCATGAACTGTTTGGCAGTGGGGAATTTGCATCTAATTTTTTGCAAGAAATATTCACAAAATGAAAACTGTTTCATTTCTACATGATTGTTTATATTTTGTAGTAACGAAGGATTAATGAATAAACTGCTTTACTACTGGGTGAGAATAGGACAGGTGAACAGTTTATGTACACCCTCTCCCTACAACTCTACACTCTCAGTGTAAGGTATGTAAAATGAATGCTAAATATATATATGGATATTGTTATTAGGCTATAATTCCCATATACCCATCAATGAAATGCCTCAAGAAGGCCTGGATGGGGTCCCTTTTGGCCTGTTGTTAATCAGCCTTTGGATAGAGAACAGGAAAGGAGGCTGTATAATATTTTCTCTGTGTTCTCTACTTTGCTGGGGCTAATGACAACCACCCCCATCCAGAACCCCATCCATTTGGAGCATATAAACTTCTCAGTTCAG